TCATCCTGTATAATTTTGTTAAAAAAAATTTAATTATGCTAAAAAGAAGTAATTTTGAAACAGATTCAAAAAAATAAAAATTTAGTGTTAAATCAAAATTACCCTGGATATTTTTTATTGAAATAAATAAACTAACACAATAAAATTGTGTTAAAAACCTATAAATTCTAGTCTAGTTTTTACAAATTTTGCCAAATTCATCGCAAATTTTTGAAAAAAAAAGAAAAACTGATAGTCAAGGAGCGGGAATCACCCTGTATTTTTTGGACATATTCCAAAATGTTGAAAGTAAAAAATAAAGTACATAAAAAGAACAAACTCTAAATCCAATTATGCAAATTTTTACAAATTTTGACAATGTGTCTAGTAGGCCATGGGCCAAACTAAGGCCCCAATCGCCAAGCGAAACTCATTTTCATAATCAGAAGTGCTAAATTAGTGAGAATTGACCCTCATATTGTTGTAAAACGCCAAACCAAGACATTTCACACGGACTCAGATCCGGTCATTCTGAAGCCAAAAAAATTAAAAAAACCGAAATAACACTAAAATACACATTTCAACCGGTCTTTACACCCAAAACGAGATAAAATAATCAATTTGTTATCAATTTTTCATTGATAAACCGATATTAAAGTTCATTGCATTTATTGCATCAACGATAAAATCGAATTCTGTGAACCGTTATGTTGGCACAACTTTCACATTTTATCACACTTGTGTAAAATATTGGGGCAAAAGTCAAAAATCATCATTTTTATTGACACATATTACTATTTCTAGCACGTTTTAATTCCTTATCTCTGTTATCTGATATCACATCCGAGTTATTCAAACTATTCACACCAGGAATTATCTAATTATTTACAAAATTGCGCATTTGCGAGATATTTGACCCAATTTGCGCGGATTTTATCAAAAAACGAATCGATCAAGTAGCCTTGGTGCAATCAAATAATTGATATCAGGCATTGATAACTTGATATAAACCACACGTGTGTTTTTTCAATTAATAAACCTCTCATTCAGCATTAAATCACCACTTTTTCAGTTTGGATTACAATTTAACATTTTTTTTTTTGATTTGGGTTTGACAGTGGAGGACTTAGGTAGAATTTTTGTGGATTTTTTGCTATTGTTAGCCGGCAACGAACCACACGTTCAAGTTCAAGGACAAGCCCGGATGTGGTGGCATCTGGAGACCATCTTTGCTCGACTCGAGTGCTTTTGTCTCGAGAGAATGGTAAAATAAAAAGGCATTGAAAAAATTTTATTACAGTAAACTTACTCGGAAATAATAATAATAATGATAGTGATTTTTTCAAAATATGAGATAATGTATCAATTATTCGAAGAAGTCTATTTTTAAAATGTCAAGGTTAAATGATATATTAAAATCACGTTTTTTCCTTTTTTTTAGTTTTTTTGAAAAAAATACTAAATTTTGAGACATTTTTTGTAAAAATTGACACTCAAATTCAAATAACACCGAATTATATGTTGGGATAAGTATTCTGCGATTAGTTTTTGTTGTCTGGTACAATCTTCAAAAAAATGGTACTTTTTTGGTACCCACCAAAAAAAAACTATTTTTTGATACTGAAAAAACACCAAATTTTTAGTTAATTTTAAGGTAAAATTTGATGTTAATGTCGGTTTTGGTTCTTGAAAGAGAATCGTATTTTGATTTTTTAATTTTTTTTTGAAAAAGATTACATATCTCAAAAAAATGGTCTTTTTAGGTGCCATTTTTTAAAAAGTTAGATTTTGTTTCGAGATTATAAAATTGGCAATATTACAAAATTAACACTCAAATAACACCGAATTATATGTTGGGATAAATGCTGCGATTAGTTTTTGTTTTYTGGTACAATCTTCGAAAAAGTAGTACTTTTTTGGTACCCAYCAAAAAAACTATTTTTTGAAACTGCCAARATACAAAATTTTGAGTTAATTTTAAGRTAAAATTTGATGTTAACGTCAGTTTTGGTTCTTGAAAGAGAATCGTATTTTGATTTTTTAATTTTTTTTTGAAAAAGATTACATATCTAAAAAAAATGGTCTTTTTAGGTGCCATTTTTTAAAAAGTTAGATTTTGTTTCGAGATTATAAAATTGGCAATATTACAAAATTAACACTCAAATAACACCGAATTATATGTTGGGATAAATGCTGCGATTAGTTTTTGTTTTTTGGTACAATCTTCGAAAAAGTAGTACTTTTTTGGTACCCACCAAAAAAACTATTTTTTGAAACTGCCAARATACAAAATTTTGAGTTAATTTTAAGGTAAAATTTGATGTTAACGTCAGTTTTGGTTCTTGAAAGAGAATCGTATTTTGATTTTTTAATTTTTTTTTGAAAAAGATTACATATCTCAAAAAAATGGTCTTTTTAGGTGCCATTTTTTAAAAAGTTAGATTTTGTTTCGAGATTATAAAATTGGCAATATTACAAAATTAACACTCAAATAACACCGAATTATATGTTGGGATAAATGCTGCGATTAGTTTTTGTTTTTTGGTACAATCTTCGAAAAAGTAGTACTTTTTTGGTACCCACCAAAAAAACTATTTTTTGAAACTGCCAAAATACAAAATTTTGAGTTAATTTTAAGATAAAATTTGATGTTAACGTCAGTTTTGGTTCTTGAAAGAGGATCGTATTTTGATTTTTTAATTTTTTCTTTGAAAAAGATTACATATTTTAAAAAAATGGTCCTTTTAGGTGCCATTTTTGAATTAATTAGATTTTTTTTGAGATTATAAAATTGGCAATTTTGGTTTATTTGACATCAAAATATATCTTGAATTTTGTTATATTATAATTTTTATAGAAAAAATAAAAATGGTACCTTTTTACTCACTTTTGGTATCCCAAATTATAACCAACATAAAAATTGTTTTTTATGCCATTTTGAAATTCTATTCTGTCCAAAGTCTATATTATATAAAAAATGGTCCTTTCAGGTGCCTTTTTTCAAAAAAATTTATTTTGTTTCGAGATTATAAAATTGGCAATTTATGCTTATTTGACATCAAAATATTCCTTGAATTTTGTTATATTATGATTTTTGTAAAAAAAAATTGAAAATGTTATGTTTTTACTCACTTTTGCTATCCCAAATTATAAACAACTTAAAAATTGTTTTTTATGCCATTTTGACATTCTATTCTGTGATTATTATTTCAAAAAATGAAAAAGGGTACTTTTTGAAAGTCAAGAAAATGCTACATCAACGTTTTGGGACATTTTTTTTGGAAAAATTAACACTTAAATACAACTGAGTTATTTTTTAGCGATGAAAAGAGATTAGATTTTGTTCTGAAACATTTTTTTTAATGGACCTTTTTGTAAATTCGTGACACAAAATATAGAGTTAATTTAAGTGTCAATTATTTTCGAAAATTTCCAAAAATCGCTAAAACTTTTGATTAGTTAACCAAAATTATGTATTTTTTGGCACTTTTAGTCAAAAAGTGTCTTAAAAAGTTCCACCAAGTCCCGCCAACGCTCGTTAAGCCCAATATCAAAATTGAAATAATGATTTAGACCCTGAATTTGATTCAATAATAAAATTAACGTTCTGTAATAGATGCAAGTCATTTTATACCACAACCAAAGCGGGGAAGCTGCATTCAGTGGCGATCTTAAACAGAAAGAAGTCCATCGAGCGATCACTTTACACCCAGTCAAGCAACCTCAACACATGTATAGACTCGATAAATACGTCAAGGTTAGTATTTTTGGATTTATACGACCGTGGGTAAGAATAGGTTTGATAATAAACACAAACTGCAGGTGGAAATTGCTCACAGAGACGGATTTTGATAATTTTTTTGAAAAATAAATCTCCATTGGCCTTATTTATGCAAAAATTAACTAAATTTTGTGTTACTATTGGACACTTGGGGCCCCTAAACACGTTTCTTGACTCAAAAAAAGTTTTGGAAAATTTTGAAAAATCGCCAAAATTTTTGGTCACTGACACTTTTTCTGAAAAAAATCAGGTGACACGTCATTTTTACGTCCTAGGGTATAAATAGGTTTGATTTTGAACATAAAATGCAGGTGGAAATTGCTCGCAGAGACGAATTTTGGCGAATTTTAACGAATTTTCGAAAAAGGGGCCTCCATTGGCCTCATTTAGGTAAATTTTGTGTTACTTTTGCCTACTTAGGGTCCCTAAATACGTTTCTTGAGTCAAAAAAAGTTTTGGGAAATTTTGAAAAATCGCCAAAAATTTTTGGTCACTGCCTCGTTTTTTGAGTAAATCAAGTTACACGTGATTTATAAGTCCTAGGGTAGAATTAGGTTCCATTACGAACACAAAATGCAGGTGAAAATGTTCACAGAGACGGATTTTGACGAATTTTGACAAATTTTTCGGAAAAGGGGCTTCCATTGGCCTCATTGAGGCAAAAATTATGTATCTTTTGTGTTACTTTTGCCCACTTAAGGTCCTTAAATACGTTTCTCGACTCAAAAAAAGTTTTGGGAAATTTTGAAAAATCGCCAATTTTTTTGGTTACTGAGATTTTTTCTGAAAAAAATCAGGTGACACGTCATTTTTACGTCCTAGGGTAGGAATAGGTTTGATTATGAACACAAAATACTGGTGAAAATTGCTCACAGAGACAGATTTTCACGAATTTTGAAATTTTTTTCGATAAAAGAGATTCCATTGGCCTCATTTAGGCAAAAATTATGTAAAATGTGTTACTTTTGCTCACCTAAGGTCTCTAAACACGTTTCTTAACTCAAAAATAGTTTTGTGAAATTTTGAAAAATCGCCCAAATTTTTGGTCACTGACACTTTTTTTGAAAAAATCACCTCACACATTATTTAAAGGTCCTAGGGTATAAAGAGGTTTAATTATGAACACAATGCAGGTGAAAATTGATTACAGAGACGTATTTTGACGAATTTTGACACATTTTTCGGAAAAGGGGCCTGCATTAGCCTCATTTAGGCAAAAATTATGTAAACTTTGTGTTACTTTTCCACACTTAGGGTCCTTAAACACGTTTCTTGACTCAAAAAAAGCTTTGGAAAATTTTGAAAAATCGCCAAAATTTTTGGTCACTAACCCTTTCTCCAAAAAATCACGTGGCACGTAATTTATAGAAACTTGGGTAGAAATAGTTGATTTTGAACCCAAACTGTAGATGAGAATTGCTTACAGAGCCACATTTTGGTGAATTTTGACGAATTTTTGAGAAAGGGTTGTCCAGAGGCCTTATTTAGGCTAAAATTCAATGTCCCTAGTGTTACTTTTGGTCACTTAAGTGTTTTAGACAGGTTTCTCGACTGAAAAATTTAAAAAAAATCGACAAAATCGCCGACTTTTGACAAATTTTGACGAATTCTTGAAAAAGGGGTGTCCAGAGGCTTTGTTTTGCTGTGAATTTGGTGCCTCAAGTGTTACTTTTGGTCACTTAGAGCCCCTAATCACGATTTCTAATTAAAAAAAAGTTTAGAAATATTTTGAAAAATCGCCAAAATTATTACCCATTTGGTATTTTTTTGGCAAAAAACACGTGATGCGCGTCTACTTGTGCCCAAATCGTACCCCAAAACTCGTTTCACGTTTCAAAAGTAAATTTGAAAATGAACAAAAATCTTTTTGTATATTTTTAACCTTGCTTATAAATTCTACCTACATAGTAATGAAAAATTAATGATTTGTGCAAAGTCTAAACACTATCAAATCGCTCTGACGTCACAACTATTAAACATTTGACACAAGAAATAAATTTTTTGCATCTATTTTGTTTACTACCAATATATCGAGGCCAAATTTAGCATAACAAACAATAGAAAACTTGCTAAAAAATGAAATAAACAGTTTTACCAACTTGAAAACATCTCAAAAGTGTGTTTACAATCCGACCATAAAGTCGCAACTTTGATTAAACCGTTACAAGACCCATTTATCCACTTGGTCGCCCGATCTGACCCCAATTGAATTCTCGTGGAGGCCTATAACCCGTTTATTCTCAAGCTAATTGCGGCCAAATACAACAAAATGATTTATTTGTCTTCCCGGAATGTTATATTTGTTTGATAATAAATATTTATAGATCTAAATCCACTCTTCCTCTTACGTTGGCTATAAAATTCTACCAAAGTACATATTTGCACGATTTTAAACGTTTGATAATTGCTTATAATTCGGTTTAGGAAGTTTACGCTGACCTCAAGCTATTTCTTTTTTTTTGAGTGAGAAAGAAAAAATGCAAGTGGTGTGACCGGTCATAGGAGGCATTGATACGCTCGTATAATGTTACATAATGACGTGTGATGCAAGCCATGACATGTGTAAATTGAACTTAAAACGTAATAATAATAATACCAGTTATAATTTATCAATTTATTTTTCTAATTTGGTGTATATATTACGAATTTTAAGCGAAATAGGGCCCAAATTGCAAAAATAATATCATTTTCGTAATCAGCGGGGTCAAATTAGTCAATTTCGACCCCCAACATGCCAAACCAAGCCTTTTCACATGGACCCAAATCCGGTCATTTTTGTGGCCAAATCGCTCTAAAATATCAATTTTTCGTCCGATTCTTGTCGTGTTATAAAAAATTCAGTCGTACTAACATTTCCATCGCGGAGGCATTTGGTATTTGTCAAATTTAGCGTATATATTATAAATTTCAAGTGAAATAAGGCCCAAATTGCCAAGATAATATCATTTTCGTAATCAGCGGGGTCAAATTAGTCAATTTCGACCCCCAACACGCCAAACCACGCCTTTTCACATGGACTCAAATCCGGTGATTTTTGTGGCCAAATCGCTCTAAAATCGCTATTTTTCGTCCGATTTTTCCAGGGTTTGAAAATCCAGTCGTACCAACAGGAGTGCATCGACCTCCATCGCGGAATCGCCTCGTCCATGTCCCAATTGGGTTTTGCCATTGGGCATTTGCCCAACGCCAGTCTAGTCGAAGGTCTGCCGCTTTTTCCCGCGACGAGAGGGTCACGAGGCTACTTGGGTGACATCACACTATTAGGTACCGCTCATTCGTCACACATGTGGTACCAATGGTACCATTGGTACCACCGGTACCACTAACATAACCATTTACGTTATGTGCTATTGTTCCAATATTTAATAAACAATCCGATTAATTGCGGTTATTTTGGGTTCCAGGCATGCCTCAGAGTCTGACGAGGCACAAGCCGAGGAATTTGGACGAAGTCCTCGACTGGGAACTCATCTCCAAGACTTTGTACTCGTATAAGGACTTAAATCCGAGACGGCGAATCGGATCCTCACTCAAAGAAGGCCTAAATGACGTCGTTCGTGACGTATGGAGGCATGCCTCACTTTTCCAAAATCGCTCAAAATCCATACTTTTCAGATTATGGAACTTATAAACTCGTATTCGAAGCAACGAGGACGTGTTATAGACTTCAAGGAGATTCTCTACGGCTATTGGAGGCTTGACCCCGTGCATGGGGTTGACCTAATTTTAGATCTTTTGCTCGTTTATCGGAAATACAGGGGGCACAAAATGACAGTTCAAGTGCGACGACATGCTTATGTCCAGCAAACGTTCACAGGTGAGGCTTGCAAATGGCGTTTAATTTGCTATAGACTGTACTCTAAAGTGAGGTTATGGCGGTTTTTTACCCGAATTTGGGCAAATTTTCGACTTTTTACTACCAGGAATCAACGATAAGTTTTATTTAAGCCGAAATGTAGCATTTTTTGAACTAAATTTGACCCAGAAACGTCAAAAATGAGTTTTTGGGGGTGAGTTTTAAATTAGTGGACAAAAATTGATTAAAATGAAACAAAAGAGTAATACTAACGTTAGGGCGTCAATTGGTCGCATCATACGTTGTGAATTGAAAAGAAAAAAAAAAAAAATGTTTTTGTGACATTTATTTTGTCGTGAACTGTACTCTAAAAGTCATTTTTATGTTTTAACACAATTTCTCTGGAAATTGACTTTTATTTACTCTTTTTTCAACATAGACACACACTACAAGGTTTAAGTCAACTAATTGTTACAATAATTAATGATTTTTTAACTTAATTTTTCCAATTTTTTAATTAACAAATTTTTAATTAATACAAATTAATTTTACGAATAAAAACCCCTAAATCGCACACAGGATGTGTAAAAACACATTACAAGACTATTTTTATGCCATTCGGGTACAAAACGTTTTACAAAAACTCAAAAATTGAATTTTTGTTGTCATAACCTCAAATAATTTTTTTTTAATTGTTTTTTTCGCCAAGAAATCGGACAAAATCGCAAATAAATCACAACAAGGCTTTAGAATTGATAATTTAATTCATTTCAGCTGACTAAATCGGCTCAAAAGTCCCAAAAAATTATTTTTTTGTACAGTCTCAGACACAATCAATGACACAAAAAATACAAAGAAAGCCAAAAACACGTTTATTATCAAAAATTAAATTTTGTGGGGTCATTGCCCGCAAAAAATGTCACATTTGCGTTATTTAGAGTCCAGTCTAGGTCACATTTAACGCCAGAAAAATCCAAGGTGTCTCGAGACTAAAGGTGGGCCAACTCATTTCAGGTATTTTCGTTCGTGAAGTTGGCAATTTTGACTCATCACCTACCGACGCCGTCCCCGTTCACAAGAAAATTGTCAAACACATAATTTCAACATTCGAGCAAATCCCGCCGATTTTTCCATCGGTCATCGCCCCCAAACGTCAAACAATCAACTTTATTTTGCCTCTGAGTGGTCGATTTGCAACGTTTCGGCGCTTTTTGAAACTCTACGAAGACGTTTGTATCAAACAACAAGAGGAGACTAAACTATTTGTGATTTTGTATCAAAGTGAGGGTTTTGAGGACAGTCGGGGGGCTATAGAGGGGCTCCAGCGGAGATATTCGGACAGTGGTGTGAGTGTGGTGTATATAAACGAGACTTTTAGCCGAGCTAAAGCCCTAGAATATGGGCTAAAATTTTTGAGTGATGATGATTTGGTGTTGTTTATTGACGTTGACATGGTTTTTGACGCACGAAGTCTACAACGAGTGCGTCAAAATACGGCAAAAGCCCGGAGTATTTACTTTCCGGTTGTTTATAGTTTGTATGACCCGAAAATAACAAACTGGAGTTTTCCGGACGGTTTTACCATCGATGAAGAATCCGGTTTTTGGCGCCAATTCGGTTTCGGTATAGTCAGTTTGTATAAAAGTGACTACCGGAAGTTGGGTGGTTTGAATTTACATATTTCGGGGTGGGGGTTCGAAGATGTCGCTTTTTACGACACCGCTATCCAATCAGAATTGAGAATTGTGAGGAGCACCGATCCCGGATTGGTCCACATATACCACCCAATCAAATGTGATATTAATTTAGACACAAATCAAAGAAATATGTGTTTGGGGACACAAGCGAATATGTTAGGTGGACGCAAACGATTGGAGGAGATTTATCGCCGACATAAACATTTGTTTTCTTGACTGTGATTGTAGAGTCGTGGGGACTCGATTTTATGTTCCTGGTGTGAAATAATCTCACGGTGACATGACAAGGCTGAGCTTGAAATTAAGATGAAATTGAGATTTTAAATGCCAAAATGTACTGCCATATAGTGTGAAAGACATGTCGAAAATAAAACGTTTTCTGAACCTTGTGCTTATTTGACACACCTTACTGTGATTTAATTGGCAAAAAACGCGAATTTTCTAGTCAAGAGCAAAAAAATAGTGACATTTAACTTGTCCATGACTACACAAAAGTCAGGTTATGTAAGATTTTACCTCAAATTCACTCATTTCTTAATCAAAATGCATGTAAATGGTCACAATTTAACAAAAACTTGCGTTTTTAAGCCCTAATTAATTAAAACAGTGTCGTAAATTAGCAAAGATTAGACTTAACCTCAAATGTCAAGTCATTAAATTAGGTTTTTTCCCAAAAAAACTGACAAAAATAAGGAGGAAAATGACATGTAACCACGAAGGGGCCATTAAGGGGTCAAAGTTGGGCATAAATTGTCTGAAATCGGTCAAAAAATGATTCTTGAGGTTACAGTTCTGGACAAAATCATTGTTCATTTTTTCACCAACTTGAATTAAACGCTTGAATCACAGAATTTTTAACGTTTTGCAACCTGGACACTCACTACAGGCCCCAACTTAGTTAAATGTTGCAATAATATCGATTTTTAATGATTTTCAAGTTTAATTTTTTTACACATATTCGTACGCAAGAACATTCGAGGGCAAGAACAAGTTACTTAATTCTTACGTAAAAATAAATTCACAACTAGAATTTTTTGCAAACATTTTTATTTCTAAGCGTAGATTACGTGTTGTGTGCTAATAAATTATTTTTTGACAAAAAAACAATTATTTGTTACATTTAGTGCAAAACACCGAATGTTTCCAAGTCCGAAAAAGTTGATTAAAAATTTCATTATTTTTTGTTGTATTTAGAAAAAAACAACGTAATTGAACATCAAATAACTTAATTTGTTAATCAATAAGTTAATGAGAGTTGAAGAAAAGTAAAAAATCGTTTTGTTTTTTTTTAATTATGACGTAACGTTTGGTAATTTTAACTTTTCAATGTTGGCACTAGAAGTCACCACGTTGATCAAATTGAGGTAAAAAATTGCATCATCCCCGACAGCCCCCTTAATCAGTGTTACAGCCCCCACAATGACCGACCTCTGTGAGAAAATCCTGAGACAGCTCTCGGAGTCCGAGCCCCTCAACACTCTCACCCTCTCCCGTCTCTTCAACACCGACCACCAGAAGATCGTGGGGGCCCTTAAGAGCATCCAAGCCCATGGGGACCTCATCACCGCGGAGCCCCAAAGCGACAAATTCATCGAACTCACGGAAGAGGGCAAACAAATCGTGGAAAACGGCAGTCACGAAGCTCGCATTTTCCACGCTGTGCCCCCCGAGGGCGTAGCCCAAGCCGAGTTAATGAAACTCCCTAACGCCAAAGTGGGGTTCAGTAAGGCGATGAGCGCCGGCTGGCTGGTCTTGGACAAGGGGGGCCCCCCTGTCGTGAGACGCAAAGTGGACAAGATCGTGGATACGGTCCAGGCGAATTTGCGCCTGATTTTAGGGGGGCACGTGGGGCAGATCGCCGATAGTGTGCGACAGGAGTACAAAAAACGGAAGTTGATACAGGAAGTGGTCCAAAAGTCGTTTAATCTGCGAAAAGGGGGCGATTTTAGCCTCACTTTGGCCAAATTGGAGACTGATTTAACAGCGGAAATGTTAACGACCGGAAGTTGGCAACAATTAAAGTTCAAAGAGTACAATTTTGACGCTTTGGGGGCCCCTCTTGAATGCGGGTATTTGCACCCTTTACTCAAAGTCAGGGCCGAATTCAGGCAAATTTTCCTCGAAATGGGGTTCACGGAGATGCCCACCAACAATTACGTTGAGAGCTCCTTCTGGAATTTCGACGCTTTGTTTCAACCCCAACAGCACCCTGCGAGGGACGCCCATGACACTTTTTTTGTCTCAGACCCGAAAATTTCCACTAATTTTCCCGAAGACTACAAAGAACGGGTCAAAGAAGTGCACAGTCATGGCGGTTACGGCTCTCTGGGGTAAGGGGGCCAAAATTTGTAAATTTGTGACATTAAATGTGTCATTGACTGTACCCGGAAGTGAGGTTATGTCACACTTTTTACGAAATTTGCCCACAATTCGTGTTTTTATGTTCCAAATTGCTTTATTCACACGTAGTGAGACACAAACTGAGTATTTTGCTCGGTTTTAGTCACAATTAGGGGCCAAAAAGGCCCAAATTGTATCACCAAGTGACATAACCTTAAACGTCAAAGTCACAAAAAATCGTTTTTTTGGTGAAAAAAAACCCAAAATTGATTGAAATACAACATGGGACTTTAAAAAGGATACAAGCCGGGGCTTTGACCCTGTTAAGGGTCCCAATTTGGGGTAAAAAAAATCCCCCGAGTTGTACAACTCTGGACATAATAAATGCAAGGCCAAGGGGTTAGTGTCAAGGTCAGCTCATGTTTTTTTTTTTGGTGTTTCATGCGAAATTT